AACAACCTCAAGACAGCCTCAAAATTTTTTAAAACTTTCTATTTCAAACTGACTTGTAACAATGCATTTCTCACTATATGCTTCTTTACAGAGAAGACACCACAAATTGTGCTGGTTACACAGTAAAGAAAAAAGTCTTCGCAAGCAGCGTTCAGAAAAGAACCAGTTATTCCTTCCTTTAGCCAGACTATTTTTAAATCGAAATCAGTAACAAGCAGAGGAGGACTAAGACAGAGAATAATGTTCCTCCATGCTTTTCAGCTTTATAAAGCTACTTTTATAACATTCAAGCAAATTGTACAGTGACTGACATGAACAAAATGACAGTAATCTGTCACTATTTCACATTTCCCACTAGGCTGATTCAAATACTTATTTATGAACCTCACACTTCAATGGTCACTTTGATGACTAAACCATAAATTAGAATGTAAAGTGAATATAAATTTGATTTTAGAGTAACAACAAATTGTCAGCAAAGTGGGATATTATTTAATTTCTATCGACACACTATGAAAAAGTCAGCAATACCAAGAAGTGCTACATCATAATAAACCCCAAACTTAGCAAAAAAATGTATGCTAGATCTTGTGTTTGCTTCAATGCTTCTGCATTTAAAAATAAAAGCACTTTATATTATGCTTGGTTAGTTTTAAATATAAAGTCTTAATAATGTCAGATGACTTCATTACTTACATCTTCAATTAAACAGGGAGCAAGAATAAATTTTTTTTCCACAGAGCATGATTAAATTTGACAGCAAGTAAATATTAATATGAATTTAGATGCTAAGGTTTTTAACAGTCCTGATGAAAAGCTTACTTTTAAGGCAGTGTTGCTATTTTTCCAATATTTATCTCTTGCTTTACAGCTCAAAGTGAGATGAAACTGAAACATAACAGAAATTCTGCAAATAACAGTTCTCAATTTTTTAGAAAAGCTTTTTTTGAAGGGGGGAAGAATGACTCACAAAAAAATAATCCTTATTATCCAAATATCAAGTCTCGCAGGCACTCATGTCAAAAATTATCTTGATAAACTTTTATCCATTATTTTATGTTAAAAAGTTCCACTTCCTATTATGTACTATGCATGTTATTGTCTGTTACTCCCGCAAACATGTAAGATAAACACATACACCCTTCCAAAACTGAATGCAAGATTATTATGTTTTATCTGGAAAATTTCTAGAAGATATAGACATATAAGAGATACTTGAACACAAGTTTCACTGTCTTAGCAGTGTTAAAAATGGGAACTTGTGTCAGACACATTAGTATTCCTTACCTTTCAAGTATATTTTTCCTGAAATTCTTACATGGAATGCTACCAAAATGTGATCCAATTTAAAACTACTTTAGCTTCAGCAGATTGGTTTTGCATGTGGGAGAAACTCCTTAAATAGCTGAGATTTGAAACAACAAACAAGCAAAACCTTGCAGGTTTAGCAATAACTGAGGCAATTCTGCATTATTCTGGTAAGTCCCAGTGATAAAGGTAACCTCCAAGTAAAAACCACCTAACAGAAAGATAGGTACTTAATGTCATTTGCTTGACAACAGTTTGATTATAATATATTTAAGATACTTGTATTAAACACTAGTTTTCTATGTTTGAAAAACTAAAACATATGTGGCAAGATTTTCATATTCTGAAAATCCAAGTGGTGCTGTTCCAGGGAACTAGAACCCTACATGCCCTTTTTGCTTCTGAACATCTTCCGGCTGAAAAATTCACACTTACATATAAAAAAATTTAAAGCAAGATTTACATATGTGGTAGAGCAAAATGTGGCTCTCAATGACTTCTCTCAATCTTGAGTCAAGAAAGATTTCTTAAAAAATTTCTTTGCCACAAAGTAGTAAAACAGGAAAAAAAAAAGTAGCAGATTAAAAAGGTTCTGCTGGTGTAATGAAAGAAAACAGAATCTATGCTAAGAGAAAATAACAAATCTTGTCTAACCTTTTTTATTGCTGTCATTTTCTTGAATGAACACTTAAATGCACAACTTTTTTTACCAGTGCAAAATACAGGCTGGTACATGAAACCGTTACCTATTGTTCATGTACAGGCTTGTTAGAGATACTCATGTACATATGTATGTTTATGCATATGTACATATGTATATATGCACATATGTATGTTTATGCATGATCAGAATGTTCACTAGCAACCAATGAATGTAAAAATGTCCTTAAGCACAACCACTCCTTTACAAAGGACAGTGAATGGGTATACAGGCAGATTAACCAAGCCTGACTGCTCTTCCTACTCTTTCCACAGCAGCCAGAAGACCTATCTCATGCTGAGAGACAATCTTCAGACTAAAAGAAAACTTCATAGAAGGTGCAAGACAAGACCCATACCTTAAAAGGAAAAGACTGCCCTTTCAAGAATCTGCTTTAGAGAAACAGTGTATTTTTTTTCAGTGTCTACAGTAACAAGGTAATCTGGGTGTTCACAGGACTCAGATAGGAGAGAGGAGCTTTATTTTAAAATCTGCCCCAGACCTATTATGGCTCAGATGAGTCAGTAGAACCATGTTTTGTTGAAAGAAAAGCTGGAAAGCTTTTATTTTAGCAAGACTTACCCACCATCTGACTTAGAACTGCCTTTTCTTGCTTAAGGCTCATAAAACCAGCAAGAGCCAAATCAAGTCAGGGTACCCTGAAATTAAGGTACTACAAATCAGCATCCTCATTTCGGCATCCAGGATATTTTATCTATAAAGCAGAAACAATATTTCCCACCTATTTCAAGTGCTTTGATACCTTGAAATTGAACTCTTAAAAAGAAAGTACTTGCTATTATAAAAGAGTTGTGCCAAGTAGGTCCCAGTTAAGATATTTTAAAACAAAAATAAGTTTAGTACACTTCAGTCATCCATTCCACGGTAAAACAATTACTGCAGTAACCTCACTATTGTTTTCCTGATCTATCAAAGACGTAATGTTTACATTCTTACAATCATCACAGAGCATTTTCTGACATGCCAACAGGAATTTATCTTAGCCACAGCCTAGAAGAGATTTTCTGTAGCATTTTACTATAGGAGATCCAATGTCCACAAATTGTTACTTTGATGCAGCTTTCTAAGTCGCAGAATTTGACTCTGCACATTCTTATCTTTTGCCATCCTCTGTTACAGATGCACCCCTCTTTGAACTAACTGAACTTTGGTCTAGGCAGATGCTCAGCAAGTAGGCCTAACCAAAGTTATATTGTGTGAGAACTCAGCACCAACCCCTCCACCCCACCAAAAACAAATGTTTTGGCTAGAGACAGGATAAGCAGCTGAAATTGCTTTAACACAGCAGAAAATCTGACTACAAATCAACCACTTCACACTATAAATATCTGTAGCTATCAGGGTCCATTGAGCTCTCTCTCCATAGCAGGTGGCTGCATAGCAGTGATCTCCACTTGAGTAGGGACACCTCTCAAGGTTACCCCCTCAAGACTGAGATCCCTTACCTGGCACCAGATGTCAATGGGTTGGTAAGGGACATTTTTTGCATGCATGTAACATTTAAGGTACATATGTTAAGCTTAAGAGATAATCTTTGTATTCCATACTAACTTTAAGTATAGTAAATAGTATTGACCACCAATCCATCTGTACTTATTAAATATTTTACATACCTAAATTTACTGATTAGAACTCAATAAACTAACTACTAGCTCAGATTGGTCCAAGTGATCTCCGACTCCTGTCCTGCGAACGCCCTCCTTCATTGTCTTCTCCAGCCTCTAATACTTCCCTGGAGAATATTGGATATCAAGGCTTTCCAAGATAAAACCTCAAAAAGAAGAGCTGAAAACGCTACTCATCACCTGCAGACATGAGAGAAAAAAACCACCCCAACATTTAAATATAACTGCATTGAATCAATCTAATCTGAATTGCTTTGTCAAGAAACACTTTTACAACACAAAAATAGCAGTGTGTGTGGGGGTTAAAAAAAGATAGCAAAGCTATGATAGCACAAAACACCACCTGTTCTGGGAGAAGAAATTCCAAAGAAATACTTTAACTTGCACCAAATTGCCAAATCAGAGGGCCCAGCTTCCTACTGAAATAAGAATTGAGGTAACTGACCTGCTGGTTGTTAAAAAATTCATGTTAAAACAGACCATGGACGAACAGGTGCACAAATTCATTCGTTATTTAATAAAAGTACTGCTGAGCTCTGATCAGTGTCAGTAAGTGCAGATTTTGAAAGGAGGGACAGCTTAAGCATTGCAAGTGCCCTTGCAAGTTTTCAGGCATAGAAGCTTGCTTTCTTCAAATTTCCAGTGGTCACTGTAGATAGACAGTGGGTTTATACAAGAAGTAATAAAGTATCTAAAGTTCAACAAAGTATAATTCATGTCTAAATAATAAGGTACCCAGTGGAAGGAACAGAGATGCTGTAAATGCTACTCAGACAAGGTCAGAGAAAAACATTGCCAGTGACTCAACTTTTTCAAAAGAAAAATCTATCACCCTGCTTGGATGCATTTAGCCAGCATTTACTAAATTCACTTCAGGATTTTCTTGTTCTGCTACTCTAACACTGCATCTGGAGGTGGGGAAAACACACAGAAGGCAAGACTATTTGGAGTGGCACAGCCACTATTTTAAAACCTATAATGGAAGGAGGAAAGCATGAGGAAGGGAATCTAATACACAAGGCTAGAGGAAACAGACTCAAAGGAAAATTAGGGCAGAACAGAGAAGCAGAGTGAAGAGACAATAAAACAAACAGCAGAAAAGGTAACAGAAGGGCATATAAACTTTTGACAGCAAGGCCTGTTTCAGTTAATGGAACAAACATCCCCAAATCCCCTGTTGCAACCATCATGGATAAACGGATGTTTCCCACCCTCTTAAGACATACAAAAACTACTGTTCATCCAGAGATGTCTTGAGAAAGGATCTATTTTTCCATCTGCAGTGGCATGGGAGAGTTAACTGAGTAGTGTACAACTCTCAGATAAAACGAGAGAAATAAACATACCTGCCGATGAATAACTTCTAGGTTTGCCTTGGCTTTATTCACTAGTTCTTCTATTTTTTCAGAATCCTTTATATTCTTGTTTTCTCTGAAGGCATCTCTTATCCTTCTGATGGCATATGTTCTAAATACAAACAATAAGAGGACGTGCATTCATAGATGTGCCATGGCTTATGACATTTCAACACTCTTTAATATGTTTTTTTAAAATAATTATACATACACACATATATTCTGCCCAGTTTTATAAATACATCTTTTTATTCAGGGTCTTGCCTGAGTTGAACCAGTGACCAGACTAATTTAAGAAGTGGTTTTACTGGAAAAATTTCATGTTTTGTGTATCAGTCCAGTCCTTACTGCTTGTTATTGTTGTAAACACACTGTTGGATGCCCAGCATGGATACTGCAAAGCTCAATAACATAACAAAAAGCCTAAGAACCAAAAAATCATCCCCCAAATTATTTTTCATCAGTGCAATTATTCTTATTCCAAGTACTCTAAAGGGCATTGAGCTAACCACTAAATACATTATACGTTATTACTAGTTCTGACTTTGTAGTCTAGCAGTCAAAGATAGACTGATGGACCAACCATAACAAAAAGGGCTCCTCCTGTCACCCCTTTCCTCTCCTGACAAAGTCCATTTCACCCTTCAGTTCAACACCTCCTCATCCAGTTCGCCACTAAGAAGCAATAACAGGACAGGATCTCTGCCAGGAGGAGGCGGCTATGATCTCTGCTGAAGGTCCAAGGCTGCAGCTATCTCTGAATCTCTCCCCTTTCTTTGCAACCCAGTAAAGAACCTTTGAGCAGCCTGTAGCATACTGCTCAATAAAAAATAGGGCCAATTTCATTATTAAAATATAATTTCCAGACTGAGCAGTAGATACTTTCACTCCACTCATGCTTGGGAGGGGAGGGAGGAATGGCAGTAAACTGATCCTGCTCAACTATCTTGATAATGTCCCACTTCTCTACCACATCACATCAGTATCATTTTTACTATAGAAAGTAAAACCCTATGTGCGGCGCTGGAAGGAGAAAAAAAAAAAAGCTGCAGCAAACACCACAAATAGTGTAATACTTCAACAAGCATTTTCAATCTTGTATAAAAGTAAAACACGAGACACAAAATGGCCTGAAACACAATCATAAAAAACTCCAAAGACAATGTTGAAAAAGAAAAATATTAGGGAGGAGACTGAGATGGGGAGAGGAAGAAGAGGAAAGATGAATAGCCGGCGGCACTCCATACCATTAGATGGTGCTATCCAGCCCCTAATGCAGCCTCCACCAGCCAAGCGACGTATTTTCTCTTTGAGCTCATAAATAATACATTTCAATCTCAGGAATCAGGCTGGTTATGGAGTGCCACCCTGCTGCCGCACACCGGCAGATGGTGCGTGCTTTTAATTAGGGCCTGTTCACCTCTAATGTGACACCGGGGTGCACGAGTGAGTGTGCGTTTGTATGTGTGCAGTTAATAGAATGTATTAAATATGGAAGCTCATTCTCATCTGCAGCTGCTGTCCTAGCAAGATTTGAAGGGGAAGCTGCTTATTTCTTCTAGAAAAAAACCAATCCTAAATCATTAAGATGTATTGTAATTTTGTCGCTTGGTAATGGATTTCAAATCACCCCATTATACATATGTAGGGTTAAACTGTGAAGAAACGTAATATTTTCTGCAAGCAAGGAAGGGTTTCCAAAAGATACAAAGACCTAATATATATATTTATTTTTAGCTTAAAAGAAAATAACAACAACAAACAGCAAGTATCCATTACCTGGTACAAGTGTTTCAAAATGCAATACAAATGAGTAAATGCTATCTACATAAAAAAGATAGATGGGACTAAAACAAATTCTTGTTCAGTATAACACCTACAGACTGCTTTTTTTGTTTTGTGCATATGGTGCATTAATTGTTCCATTTTCTCTCTCTTCCTCTCATTACACCCAACAGTTGTTGAGAAAGAAATGTACTTAGAAAACATCATCAGACCAGTTTTTATCTATAGGCAGAAAGTTGTTGGTTTTAACTTTTACAATTTCTTTAAGCCTTTTTGAACATTAACATCCAAAGTTATTTTACATCAGCTTTAACACAATCTCAATTCGACAGCTAAATCAATCCAGTAGTCTCTAAACACACTTCCAAGACCAGCTCTATATCCTGGTACTACTCCTTCCTAAGGTTACACTGAGATTCAATATATCACTTAAAATAAGGAGGAGCTGAAATCAAAGCTCAAACCCAATACTATAATGACTGTAAATCATCCTTTCTTCCCTATTGAGAGGTGCCAGGGGAACATTTACCAACACTCAAATTCTTTCAAAATTATGTAAAAAGCATTAAGACATAAACAAGTGGGCAGTTTTGGGTGGTTTTTTTTAACAGCTTTTTTTATGCAATAACAGTTGTAAACAGTGTCAATTCCAAGCCTCCATATTCTCTATTGCTTCAAAAGTTTCTGAGCTGAGTACATGCTACAAGCTAGTGCTAACATTAGGGCTGTGATATTGCTGCAAGTCTATGAATCACCAAGTTCTTTTGAAAGTACAGTAATGTGTGTAGCAACACGCAAGCAAAGAGACACATGCTGTGAAAAGAACTTGTTCATTCAGACATATATCTGTTGGTTTTTTTAAAGAGTACTACTCCAAAGATCTTCTGGTTGATGAACAGACTGGCCAGCCAAGCAGCTACACTAACATTGTGTATTTTCAGTTCAACAAGCATAAACAACCAAACCCAATCACATGTACCATTTGAAGGCACAGCTCAAAATGCCAGTGGCAGAGAATATACGGCTATCTTCATAGAACTTTACAACATTAACCTAAAAGAAGCATTATCTGAAGACAGAGGGACAGATGAAAAGCATACCAGCAATTGAAATGATTGCTGTACCTTATGGATGATTATTTCCCCAAGCTGACACAAAGGAACTGAGGGCATAGAGCATTGCAACAAGTTTAAGTCAATGTGAGTGAAGGGGAGCTGCTGCCATTTTGCCACCCTCCCTGGTAGGCACAAGCCCTCCCTCTGCCTCCTTCAGATCAGCACAGCCAGTCTGATATTTGGCCCTGAAGTGAGCCAGTTCAACTTGGTAATCTAACAGAAGGGCAACATACTAAAAGAGTTAACTTTTTTTTTTTGTT